ATCAAAAAAGGTAGGCGTGGCCAATTTTTTGAAATAGCACCCCCTAGCACCCTTAAAAGTGCCAGCCCCAGGCCATGTTTTTACTGAGGATTAAGAAATTTTGTACACTTATGCAATGTCTTAGGACCTACAACAAACTCGAGCCATGCTCAATATCCCACAGGAAGTTGGCCATTTTGGTACAAGTACGCCATTTTGTGTTTTTTTCACACTTCAAAGGTACGTCAATCCCCAAGCGCCCTTTGCCCCCATCTCCTTCATACTGCTGAAAACTCTTCAGACCAAGTGGGAAAAACTGAACCCACGGATTTTCCAAAAGTCCAACGGTTTGGGCGTGACTAGGCCTCAAACTTTGACCTGTCACCACACCATGCTTTACTGTCAATGCTCCCAAATTGACTCTTTTAAACCAATCAACATAAATCTCTGGCAAATAGCAGTAGACATTTTGAGGTCACTTGGTGTCCAGTACTGGCAGGTTTCAAAAAAGGGCAAGGCTTTGGGGGCATGGCGAATTTTGACATCATGCCATTGAATTACGTTTACTTCTCATTTCCTCAATTCTGATGGCATCGGTCCAACAATTCAGGTGATTAATACAAATCCAAACCTCAATAGACATTACCCTGAAAATCTGGTGGGTGTGGCTTAGTTTCTTCACTAGCTCCCCCTAGGTCCAATAAAAATGTCAGCCCCAAGTCATGCTTTGACTGAGGATTGTGAAAATTTGGAAAACTTATGCAATGTCTTAGGACCTACAACAAACTCGAGCCATGCTCCATATCCCACAGGAAGTCGGCCATTTTGGTCCAAGTACGCCATTTTGTGTTTTTTGCACACTTCAAAGGTACGCCAATCCCCAAGTGCCCTTTGCCCCCATTGCCTTCATACTTCTGCTTAAAACTCTTAAGATCAAGCGGGACAAACTGAACCTACGGATTTTCCAAAAGTCTAATAGTGTGGGCATGGCTAGGCCTCAAACTTTGACCTGTCACCACACCATGCTTTACTGTCAATGCTCCCAAATTGACTCTTTTAACCTAATCAACATGAATCTCTGGTAAATAGCAGTAGACATGTTGGGGTCACTTGGTGTACAGTACTGACAGGTTTCAAAAAAGGGCAGGGCCCTGGGAGCATGGCAAAATTCGCCATCACGCCATGGAAATACGTTTGCTTCTCATTTCCTCAGTTCTCACAATATCACCAAGATTTCTGGTGAGGGATCCTAGTCTGACCCCCAATATAAATAGATGTCATAAGCTGGTGGGCGTGGCCTTTTTCCTGAAATAGCACCCCCACGACCATTAAAACTCTCAGCCCCAAGTCATACTTTGACTGAGGATTGTGAAATTTTGCACACTTATGTAGTGTGCCTGGGCCTACAAAGAGATCTTATGGAGCCATGCTCCATATCCCACAGGAAGTTGGCCATTTTGTTCCAATTACGTTACAGAGTTTCTTTCGAAGCTGTAATATTTTGCTAATGTAAAACATTTTTAGTTGGGACTGTTGGCAGGCTAGGAGGAAAGGTTGAGCCAGATTGAGGTGACAGCTGACAGTGATCGCAGTTAAATGCACGCTGGGGTGTCTGGCGCGCATGGGTGCTCGTGTGCCACCAGTTGCAGGGCAATGGAATGGGAGAGGGTAGGGGATGGAGTGGAGGGGGTGCGGACGGAGGGCGAGCAGCTTCGCTGCGAGGGCTGAACGACTCCGCTTGCAGCTTTAATTTGAACTATAATCTTAACAAAAGTGTTGTTGTTGTCCTCATTTAATAAACATATGAACTGTAAAAAGGACAAAAACAGATTAGGGTCTTGGAAATAATCTACCTGGACATTTACTTTTATCCTATTGCATCATTTTAGTTAAAAAAATTTGATTAACTTAGCAAAATTTTATGAACATCTTTCAGTATCTCTAGCTCAAACTCCATTTTCTCTAAAAATATTGAAACTAATCTTAAATTACCACAGATAATAACCTTTGGCCTAATTTTTGTCTATTTCAAGTTCCTTGTACATATTAATGCCAACATAAACCTTTGAATCTCATTGTTTATTAAAGATGTGGTTTACAGAAAAAAACATATTTTAATGATTATTTTTAATTATAATGGATCTCTCTGAGATTTTCATACAGGCTGAACATGAAAATAGTCTCCTACACCTGTCTCCTGCATTTCCTTCTGATAGAAAAAAGACGGTGAAACTCTAGGATTTGAAAATCCTGACAGATCTACGTCACTCTGCCACTTAACATTCATGGACTCGCCCATCTTGGCTCATGACGGGGAAGACTGTTGTTGGTTTGGCCAGGAAATAGCAGAGAATGTCTTGATTAGTAGAATCTAACCGTTAGCATTAGCAACTCCACCACACAGCAGAACTCTCACTTGCTAGTGCTTTTTGAGGAGATTAAACATCAACATTACAAAATCAACTGAAGTCAGTGGTGGAGTCGTGTTGCTGTTATTCAGTCAGAGGAGAGATGTCTAATATCAGGAAATAAGACTCCAAACCTGCTGTCTGAAGCTACCTTCTCCTCCAGCTGACTTGTACTTCCTGAGACAGGTGCATCTGGGCTTTTTTTCCCCTGAGTGTGACTTACGAGGCATTCATAGAGACCACTGTAAATATACTGATTAAACGAGTGTTCAACACCTTTAAATTGAAGGCTATTTATTTATATGTGGACAGTGCATGAACTTATATATCTTAATGTATGTAGATTTACGAGATTGACAGCCAGGGCTAATTTCCACCTCTTGGCTATCTCTTGGCTGATTTACTATAAATGAGTGTCTAATAGTGCTGTTACATGTTTGACCACTATTTAGGCATTTTATTGCATCTTATTCAAAATATAAATATCCTGCATACTAGGGCCTGCACGGCTTTATTTTTTTTAAAGTCGACAGTCAAGTAATGAAAGTCGAGTCGACTTCGACTAGTCGTTGATGACGTCATACGCCGGAAGCGGCCGGGGGGGGGGGGTCGGTCGGTAGGTTCGCTGGAGTTTTTGACAATTAAAATTGCGCCCACATTTTCTAAGTTAACACATTTCTTTTGACAACGGTAGTTTCTGCATCCTACTTCAGCCCTCTCCTCCCTCCCCCTGCGCAGCCGCAAACTCACTGATGCGCCTGCAGCCTTTCCTGCTGTCTAAACATTAAAATAATTATTTCATTTTCTGTTCCTCACTTCTGATTACCTTCAGTGGTGTCTGTTTGTTGCAACCAGCAGGTACAAAAACTAACTTGTTTTTATTTGACTATTTTTCTGTCCTGTCTGTTTGTTATCTTCCTGCATCTCCTCTCAGTCCTAAAGAGAAACTGCTACCTGGGTTCATATATATTCACCTCATGAGTTACCTTTGAACGTAGTTCTAAAAGATCTACCGACCGCAAAAACAGCGGAGTGCCGCTGCTCGCCGGCCGACTACAACGGGACCGTTTTTGCTGCGGAGTTCATGCCGGAGCGGAGCGGAGCGGAGATAGTGGAATCTTGGGGGTGCGTCACCGGAGGACAACAGGTGATGCGCCTCGCTCCGCAGCAGCGAAATGCATCAGGCACAAATAACAGACAGAAAACATGAAAGGAAATGAGCCGACATGAACGATCGCGTGTTTAATTTGTTTTTGAGGTGGTGACACCTGATTTGGCGGTGCTCAGGACGCAATGTCTGGAGCGCACGTCAACGATCAGAGCTTTGCATGCATAAACTGGTAAGATTAGGATGGGGCTGAGGGGAAGGTAACATTGCAAGAGGGAAAAGGTCACAGTTTGGTTAAATGTCCGTTTTACCGCCGGTGTCAGTACCGCACAGCGCGTCGCCTCCGCCTCGATCCAGACGCGCAGGGGCTCATCACCTGCTGTCTTTTCCCGAGGACTGCATCTTGTCAGTCATTATCACGTGACAGCGACTAGTTGATGACAGGCATAAAAAGTCACTACAGAGCCGTGAAGTCGACTAGTCGACTATTTCGTACAACCCCTACTGCATACAATAGTCAGTATTGTGCCCTCTTCAGGTTAAAACTCTGGATTGAACTTAATCGACAAATGCTATTGGCTAAAACAGCACACCTTAGACAACGCAGCTGCTGCACCGCCACTTTGGGGTGTAGATGGTGACTTGCACTAAAAAAACAATTGACAACACTAACAGTGACCTAAACTACGCTACTGGATAAAAAGGTGTTTACACATTGTGAACTATGATTGCTGTATCTGATTTCTTGCTGAATTTTCAAAAATGAATCATTAAAATATTTTAACCAGACACCTACTGTAGCATTTCCATAGTTTTTTAGCCTCTGAATGCAACCTCACTTTGAGGAGGTGTCGTTTAGCTTCTACTGCAACGTAGAGCTGCCACCCACGCAAAATAAAATTGGAACAATATCACATTATGTCATCTTAACTTTACTGTTCAAACAAGACAATTTTCTGTTTCTTACAATATGTTAGTACGTTTGTAAATTCTTACGTGAAAATTTTATTGTTCGAACAATAAAGTTAAGCTGTTATAACGTGATCGCTCCAATTTTATTTTGCGTGGGTGGCAGCTCTACGCTTCCGGAAGTTTCAGCTGCTTTGTTTGTAGAAAATCTAGAGCTATTTTGATGCTAAACCCTCCCTGCCTTGTGACTGTTTCCAGTTTGTGCAAGGACAGAAAAAAGGTTTTATGGCTCTACAAGAATCCGTGACATCTGAGTGACCTATTAACCCCTCTGAAGTCAGTTTTGTCCCCTACTTTGAATCCACGAACATGCATTTGGACCAATCCTTTTCTCAAGAGTAGACGAGGTCGAGGGCAAACAAATGCAGCATCAGCGAGGCGTCTTAATCACTTAAGTCTGCGTGAGGTCTTAACATGAGGAGGCTTGTAATCCAGCACAGGTTCATATGACTGGAAGAAATAGGTGATAATTCTGATTGCATTAAAGAGATACCACAAGAAGTTGTTTGATATTGTTTTGCTTTTTCTTCCTGCAGATGAGACACCAAATGGTCACGCAGAAGGTGAGTGCACATCTTATCCCCCTGTCACCCCCCTAGTCCAGCAGATTAAATCTGATCAGGATGTACAATCCTCCAAAATGAAGGATGAAACTCAAACCTAATGAAAGAAAAAGGATTTCAATCCTTATAAAGTTTAAAATTGACATATCAAACAACCAGGCTCTTTAGAGGAGAACTGTAGTGACCGGTGTCACACACACACACACACACACACACACACACACACACACACACACACACACACACACACACACACACACACACACACACACACACACACACACACACACACACACACGTGGAGTCAATAGACGGCAGTGTGGATGTGCTGCTGCTCTCTGGAGTTATCTGTGACGAAGCCATCAGCATCTCTTACATTCCTCACGCCGCCAGCTGATCCCTCTTTGTTGATTCAGCTGACGCTCTGGCCGTCCCATGTGAGCGTGGCGCTGGCATCCAGCAGGCTTTTAGCAAGTGCTGAGGTTTGACCTTGGAGCTGGAGCATCTTGAGGCCACAGCGGAGAGCTTGTGTTTGTTTAGGGTCTAACTAAAAATAATCCAGAGAAAGTTAGCATCTAGAGTTTCTTCTGCTTGCTCATGATAATTTGTCGTAATAAGTAGGCAACTCAAACAAGTTACCAAAAAATTTTTACATTAATCAGGACCCCAAAATGGGATGTAAACAATAACCTTGGGGGTTTAAGATTAGTTATTAAAGACAGAACATCTGAAAAATATCAACTATATTTGAAAAGCGAAAAAAGGACTGATTTAAGTGGGTTAATGTTTGTATTTCATTATGTCCTAGTTTATGTAGCATTGAAGCAATGTTTTTGTGATGCAACCTGCAAATATCTTTGCAATGGTTTTATTATTCTTTGGGTGGTCTGAAGCAGAAATGTTTATGACCCTCTGCTCTATACATCTAAAACAAATCAGCAAATAATCAGCATGGTCAAACTGATCGTGTATAATCCACCAATTTGTAACTCTAGAGTAATTTGGCTACTGAATGCACCATTACCAAGCTTCCATAAAAATATGGTGTGTTTTCTGGTTCTCAACCTTTTTTCCTTGAGGACCTCCTTTCCTGTGTCCATGGCAAGCCAGGACCCCAACACCAACACCTGCATACACACAATAAAACTGTTTAATTACAAACGTTGCTCAGCATGGCAGCACTGCTCCTCAGATGGGTTGTATGCTGAGAAGAATTTCCCCAAAAAAGATCAATAACATATACATTTTAGTTTTTTTTCTTACAATTTTGTTCTTTGAGATAAATCAGAACTGTCAAAATTGACAGGTGAAAGCCGATAAACTGTATTGGCCCTCGAAACTGGAATCAGTGCATTTCTACTAAAAGCTACCACTACCAACAGAGGCTGCCCAAGGCATATGCGAACTAAGCGACTACTTTGGGCCCCCGCACCAACAAGGGGACCTCAAGAGCACCAAGATCACATGAGGAAAAATGTTTTAATACCTTTAAATAATACAAACAAAAAAATATTTCACATGAAAAAAAAGTATTTATATAGTGTCGTTTGGCTGTATTTTGTAGTGCAGTACCTTTTACACATGCTTCAAAACTTAAGAACAAAGGATAGTAAACCTAACTTCTTTACTGTAAATTCAGTATTTGCCTGCTGCCATTTCTTTCTGATAGTTGGATTAATACAACACACTTAAATAGCACTCAACATTTAAACATGCTAATTAATTAGAGTGTTTTTCTTGGTTTGCTGCTCCAGTAATGTTAAAACCAATATCCATTATAACACCTGTATAATGTAAGCTAACTACAAAAGACTTCAATGATAGTGGGCATGTTACTCAAATGGTGTAGCCTATGAATGATGAATGATCTGGTGTTGACTTGTTGGTATGGGGGGCCCCAAAGAGAAACTTGCTTGGGACCCCACAAAGGCTTGGGCCGGCCCTGGCTACCAGAGATGATATTTATTGCAGCCAAAAACTAGTTGTGTCTCAGCTCTGATAATAATAAATTCTTATCATTCCTTCCTTCCACTTTTAGGTTACATTTCCATAGAAATTCATATAATCATATATATATATTTTTTTTTACATCTTATCATCAATTTTTATGTTCGAAGTTTTTTTTCTATATTTTTACGAATATAGTTTCATCAGTCAGCCTTGTGACAATTAAATACATGAAGAATTTTCCCTTTAGTCTCTTTCTGCTTCTAGTTATACAGTAAAAGTACAAGGTTGGCATTAAAATACTTACTAAAACCAAAAAATATGTTGTTTTTTTTTTGCTAGAAAGCTCCCTGCAACAGCACCAGGGTTTATCAAGTTCTCTTCTCAAATGTGTCTTTGGTCCAGAAGCAGCAATTGCTAAAATGCACTTTGTAGGTCTGTCAGCATCATTATGGAGCTATAAGATGTTTAAAATAGTTCCTATGGAGGGTTTGTATTCATGTACAACAAAGATGGAGAAACACAGATCTTTGAATCCCAAGCATAATCTTGTTTAATTTATTTATTTATTTTTGCTTGTGTCATAATTTGTGGACATTCTCTGTAAATAAAAACCAACTTGACTGGATGTGGTGGAGCTTGTGTGGCTGCTTGCAGGTAGGTGTCTGGTGTCCATGTGTATGTGTGTGTGTGTCTAAAAGCAGCTTCTCCATCCACCACTATATTTGTCACACATTCAGAAAGTGTTGCCCCAGACAGTAACGGTGCCCTCACCCTACCTGAGATTTCCTTGGAGGTTTCTCCCCCACCAGGTGGGTAACCCAGATGCCCCACCCTCCCCCTTTCACCTTCACTCGCACCCAGAATGTGTTGCACCTCTGCACATCCCACTCACACCACGTGTTTTCTTTTGTTGTTGAGTGCGTTATCACTTTTTTTTAATTCACCGTGAGACGCCTGAAATTGCACTTTTCTTGCACCGAATGACGGCACACAAACGTCTTTAGGTTAGATAAAGTCAGAGTATTCACTTATTCACGGTTTGTGCACAAAACCGACCTGCCTTAGCACATTGTGCTGTTACTAACCGAAGTTGTGTCTGTTCCTGTGATACTGTGTGGCATTCTGAGTCATCAAACAGGAGGTATTTAAAAGGGTTTGGGAAACTTGAGCAATGTTTTGGGCTTTAGGCAAAAGTCAACTGTCTAATCACTAAAAACAATGAAAAAACACGTGTTTGTCAATCCCTGCCTCCTTGATCACTCTATAACAGTGTGGATGTGCAAAGGCCAAATAGATAAGAACTTTGATGATAACAGCTGCCTTCCATTTATCTGAATGTTGATCTAGGTGACCATTTGGAAGTTAGAAAACCAGTTGTGCTCAAACTCTTTCAACCTAAAAGCAACATCTTTGTCCAAAAGAGGTTCTACAACACCATCTATGTGACTGGTTAATGGAGAAACAAACTGGGAAAAGTGATGGTAAATTATTAAAAAAAACAGGATAAATCATTGCTTTTTATGCATGAGGAAACCATGCTGGATAGTTTAGATCAGGGATGAGAAGGAAAATCTAAATTTCCATATCAAATCAACAAGATGGTATTTATTAAATTCTTCTTGGCAATTAATCCTATAGCTCGGACAATTGTAAGGCAAATGCTTGGTGGGTTCATAAATGTAACTAGTAGAGGGGCTGAAAAAAATTGATTCAAGTCTGAATCGGGATTCTTATTTATAAAGATTCAGAATCGATTCCAAGAACTCAAATATTTGGCATGTTACAGGTTTGAGATGCACTTTTTTGATCTTTGATAGGAGAGTCAGTACTCCGTTTACTTTTGTGGTCCCATAAATTGAGATGATTTATGTTTGAATCTGCTGATAAGAGGGCACTTGAATGTCATTTTTTTCATACTCAGAAATTTGAGATATTCTCATATTTATTTTCTAAGTTGATAAATGAGTACTCGGGATTACTCATGTAACTTGTTTCTACACATACTTGAAAAGTATGTGACCGTATTACTTTCAAAGCTACTGTTAGGTAACTACTGATTTGTTATATTTTACAAGGTAAGCAAAAATAAATGTTGCCTTTTGGTCAAAAGGTTGTTTCTGTTTACAGTTTTAGAATCACTTTATTTTAAATTGTAAATTTGCATTTTTCAAGCATGACCAGTTTAAAGTCAAATAAAAATGTCCCATAGCTTTAACTGACTTGTACAACAAAGTAGTTAATCCTGGAGCTGACACTCTTTGTTAATACTGATTGTGAATCAATTTAAATTGGGAATCGAGAATCGATTCTGAATCGAATCGGCACCCCAAGAATCGGAATCGAATCAAATCGTGAGTTGCTCTAAGATTCACATCCCTAGTGACTAGTATGTTCTTTGCCAGTGCAATGGACACTTGTTTGGTGTTATTTATTGGATAATCAAAATCTAAAGAAACAAGGCATACAGGTACATCTAAAAACAGAGTATTGTGAAATAGTTCAATTATTTAGTCGCTAATGTCAGAAAGAAATTTAGAAAAAGCTCTAAAATTTGTGGTTTAACTCTGAAAAATTTAACTATGGAGAAGATTTATATCAGAGTTTCAAGAAGTCAAACTATGGACCCTGTTTATCATTTAGGGTCAAGTCTGTCTGGTCTTTAGCTATTAATACTAATCCCACCTGAACAAGCATCGTCTTGTCAGGCTGCCGGTGTTTGTGCTCAATGCTTGCTGCTCCAGCCTGGCACTTTGTCTGCTATACAGAGACGGTAGGAGAGGGGAATGAGACCGTAGAGACTGATGGGAAGAAACCAGAGCCCTCAGGGTCCGAGCCATTAGAGGCTCGGGACCCGAAAACGATCGACAATGGCTCAAACCCGCCAGAGCCTAGTGGGGTTGGGGTGAATGAACAAACAGAGTCCTCTAACTTTGCTGTTAAGGAAGAGGGCACCTACTCCCCCCCACCACCTGGTAAGTGTCTTTGATGTGAATCTGTCCCATGTCTCTCTCAGTGAAACTGCATGATTTCACCCCTCGAGCTCTTTGGATGTTGACAAAATAAAGTTGTAACATTGTCTTTCATTTAGCATCATTTTAACCCACCCCTACATCTTTATCCCCAGCCAACCATGTTATGGCCTATCTGACTAAAAACAAGCGCTATAACCATGTCAGCCCTGTTCACTGTTGACTGCATGGAAGCATAAAGAAACAAATATGTTTATTTTCACTTGATGGTTTTATGCTGAGGCTTTAGAAGCATTTCAAAATAACGAGTAGTGTAGATCTGTCTGCATGCTGAGTCAGACGCTATAAGAGAATTTACAGATTATCATCAAAAAAAGCGTATAGTTTGAATATAATGCTAACTTTCCATTCATTAATAGGGATGGGTACCGAATTCTGTACTTTTTAAGGTACCGACCGAATTCCACAGTACCGACCAAGCACCGATTCACGTAATTTCAAACGGTGCCTCGTTTCGGTACCAGTCCTTCAGAACGAGAACTTGCCAAGACAGCTGCGCATGCGCAAGAGCGTTATGTTGTCGCTCGCTGCGAACCAGTTGTAAACAGAGCAGCATGGTAGAAAGAACGCACGCTAAAGCTTGGGTCCACTTCACTAAATGTGATGGGTAACTGGGTGATGATGAAACCAGCGACAACGATCTAAGTGAGACATCCTCATCTTAATCTGCTCTGGTAGGTAAATAAAATGTTTAAGATAACGTTAGCTTGATATGTTAGCTTCCGTTTTGCTAATGGTGCGTTCGCTTTCTCCTCGGAACTCCGAATTTCCGACTAGAAGAACATGAACGCGCTCTAAAGTTTGGCTTCACTTTACTAAATGCGACGGGTGATTGGGTGAAGATGAAACCAGCGACAACGATCTAAGTGTGAGGCATCATCGTTTAAATCTGCTCCAGCAGCTAAATAAACTGTTTAAGATAACGTTAGCTTGATATGTTAGCTTCCATTGCCACCATTGTTATCAGCTAATGGTGCGTTCGCTTTCTCCTTGGAAATTCTAACTTCCCAGTAGGAAAAATCAAATGAAAAAGAGGCAAAAGGAATGAAGATGCACGGTAAATTTAATTCACAGTAAAGATGTCAGTTTAATTATCAGCTTATAAAACTACAAGGACGATGTTAAAATACAAACTGTTGAATGTTATTTATCGTGATATTTATCAAATATTGTTATATATTGAGAAAAATATATATTTAATTATAAAATAATTAAAGAAAATAAACACTCAAAAGTATCAAAAAATGGTACTGTTAAGTACCGGTATCGATTCCTAGGTACCGGGAATTAGTACAGAATCGATTCAAATGTCAAAGGTACCCATCCCTAATTAGCAAACAGTTTTTTGGGGTATTAAATAGAAGTGATGGTTCAACACTTTCAGTTTCAAATGAGAACTCTTTGGAGAAGCTAAGCATCTTCGAGAGGCAGTTAGCCTTTTCTGTTAAGCACCTTTGTAAATTTGTGGTTTAAATGATAAATGATCTGCACGAGCTGTTCTGAATCAGAGGACTCCAATGCGCTTTGTGCTACAATCACTCACCCATTCACACACTGATGGTGAGGAGCAACATCACTGCCACAGCTGCCCTGGGGTGCACTGGAAGAAGCTGCCGTAAACAGGCGTTACCGGTCCTTCCGACCACCACCAAAAACATGTAAACATTTGTAAAAACATATTTGTTTGAACTGAAGTGTTTTAGTAATTTTGAACAAAATGATCTGCTTTAAAGCTGGAGCTTAATTATTACAGGGACAACAGTAGCTCAGGAGGTTGAGCGGGTTGTCCAGTAATCGGAAGGTTCAATCCCAGCTCCGGCTGTCATGGTCTGCATCTGCGTCTCCCCTCGTGTGTCTCCTTGTGTTCTCCATCCCTCTGTAGGTTCTCCTTTTGTGTCTCCTAGCGCCCTCATGTGTCCTTGTTCTGCATCTTCCTCATGTGTCTCCTGGTGTTCCCCATTTGCCCCCAGATCTTCAGCCCTCTAGGTTCCCTCCTCAGGCATCCCCCTCCCAGGTCCTGTACTCCCTTGGCCCCCTTTTAGTCATGCCCCTGTAGTTTTTCTTTCTGTAGTGTTTTCCTCTAGTTTCAACTTCCCCCTTAGAATATTAGTTATGTTTGCTGCCCTTCAGGTCTTTAGGTTTTATTCTTAGGTCATTTTCCTTAGTTACATCTGTTCATGTTATTTGTCTCTCTAGTGTGTTTTTTCCCATCTGTGTTTGAGGTTTCCCCCCCCTCCTTAGATTATTAGTTATGTTCCTGCTCTTCTTGTCTTTAGTTTTTATTCTTAGGTCATGTTTGTTCCCTCCCTAATTAGTAACTCAGTTCACCTGGTCTCTCTCCCCACACACCTGCAGGTCATCTCCCTCTCATCCTCCCCAGTGTATAAAGCCCTGTCTGTGTCTCAATGTCTTGTCGGTCCATTGTTTTGTGTAAGCGTTGTTTCGTGCCTCGTCTCTAGGTTTTGTGCTCTATGTGAGCTTTCGTTCTCCTGGGTTTCAGGACTTTGGTATTTGGCTTCCTGCCCTTTTGGATTTTTGGTTCCTCATCCTAATAAAAAGGATTTTACTTTAAACCGCTCCTGCCTCGAGTCATCTGGTGTTTTCTGCATCTTGGGTCCTAACCTCCTCCTAACTCGCAACGTGACACCGGCCAGAGACTGCTGCTGTTGTGTCCTTGGGCAAGACACTTAACCCACGTTGCCTGCTGGTGGTGGTCAGAGGGACCGGTGGCGCCAGTGCTCGGCAGCCTCGCCTCTGTCAGTGCGCCCCAGGGCAGCTGTGGCTACATCGTAGCTCATCCCCACCAGTGTGTGAATGTGTGTGTGAATAGGTGAATGACTGATTGTGTTGTAAAGCGCCTTGGGGGGTTCCAGGACTCTAGAAGGCACTATATCAAATACAGGCCATTTTTACCATTGTAGCTGTGTTGCAAAAGCTTGAACTTTCAAGTTTCTGTGTCCTTTTGCAATCCACTCTGGTGTTAAAAAAAACATGCAGAGTTTGTAGGGCTCAAAATTAAATCTTCCACGAGTTGCTCTAATTATTTCTGCAAATATCTGCACACCACTATGGATAAAAAGAATATCGAGTCGCATGTGGATGATGGCATCAGCGATCTGCTGGCTTTTTGTGCTTTTCGTCTGCCAGTGATGGACTTGGAGTATTTTGATAAGTGAGTCTATTTGTGAATGACACCTCTATTGCAAATGATGATGCAATCACTACCCCATCCCCAACATCCCAAGCAGGTCAGTAAACAGAGCAGACTCTGCTGCCTTCTGATTTCAGAATAAAAGTCAAGTCAGATTAAGTTCAGACCATTTAACAGTGTAGTTGTACCGTTGGTAGATTTAGATCTCTTGCTCCCTGGTCCAAAACACTTTGGACATGCCCATTGTACAATATTTGCAGTTGGTCAACTTCCAGTTTTTGAGTTTACACACCTCTTTTCTCTTACCAGAGGGAATCTCTCTCCAAAATAAGAGTTGTAATTTGTTTATTTTTTTAATACTGCCCACCTAACAATCAACGTCACATCATGGATGTGCAGATCATGTCCACATTGCGTCCGTTGGTTCACATCACTTCTGTAGGATGTGCAAAATAAGTCTCTGCACAGTGGGTGGTCTCCCCGTTCTCTGACTTGTTGCACTGTATTTCTTTTCTCCTCACCTTGTACAGACAAAAACTCACAATTGTTGTTAAGTATTAAATCAAATCCAGCTTGTTCAGTTAGGAAACCACAACGGAGGAAATTCCAATGAAATAAAAAATGTATGAAGGAAATTAAGAAAAGAGACCCAATTTGTCAGTATTTAGAGATCTTTAGTCAAGAGTCAAGAGTCATTTATTGTCATATTCTCCACATGTGCAGGACATACAGAGAAATGAAATTCAGTTTCAGCACACACAATTCAAAGATCAGACATACGTGGGTAAGACACATAACAAGAATTGGTGACTGCGGTCATTCGCAACATGAGTCGCGCTACCTTAATAGTTAGATGAAAAGGGTGTTACATGAGGAAAGTTCAGGGAGGGGAAAAAAAAGGCATTAACAGGGTTACACCAGCAGGGTGTAGCACTCCAATGCAAAAAAAAACAAAAAAAAACACCCGACATGGAAGCAGAGACAGCACGTGTACAACATCAGAGTCCAATGGGGAGGTGGGGGTGGGCGGGATCCTGAAGCCTCCAATGGGAGCTGCCACTGCGGCGCATCGACCAGCTGCAGAACAACAGGTGGGAGGGAGAGATAAGGAACAGAGAGCACATTGAGGTCCCTGCAGATATAGCCTGAAGGGAGAGGGTGAAGGTCGGGACACAGCATCTGTCGGCATTCCTCCTTTTGTGGGGGTGTGTTGAGGCAGCCTTGAGAGGCTGCTATGGCGTCAGATAAGGATAAACATAACTTTGTTTAGGGTAGACAGAGATAATCTTCCCCTTCGTCTTGTAGTCTCTAAGTGGTCATTCATGTCCACCAGTGAAGCCAATTTTACATTCCACATCCCCGCATCGTCCGGCGACCCTCTCCGAGATCAAATCCATCTTGCGCACTAACACAGGCAACGCCGCAAGGACATTGTCCAGCTTACGGTTCACCTCGAGTAACGTCCCAGTCTGTGAGGTCACCGCACGAGCGGCACATTCCGTGGGTACGGGTCGCACTCCAATCGCTCCCGTCTTCCCAAATTTCCAGAAAACCAGATATCCTCCCACTCCAATCAGAAGAAATCCAGTGATCATCAGGCCGAATATCCACAAATCTTCCACGTCCTCGATGGACAGCTGAGAGAGGCACACGATTCGCCAGACCTCCCAAGAATCGAGTGCATATCCCGATGCGAATGTCCCCTCGGGACAGGTGGGAGCCCCCTTCTCCGTTCTCATCGTAGAGAAAATTTTGTCAATCACGTTGAATGACCAATTAATTAAGTCCATATTTCCAAAAAGAGAGTAGTGGTTTCAGGAGAAATGCAGAGAAGTGCTCTGTAGGCAGACAGGACAAGAGCCTTGGGGAAGCCGATAAGGGAGCTGAGAAAAAAGCGTCTGTACTCTCTGAAGGCTGAAGAAGCCTTCAGATAGTACATTCAGACACATTCAGACAGTACAAGATCTTTAGTAACTTTATAAGGTTTAATCAATGTTTGGTTCTTCTTCACGCGCATTTTTCCCCTTGAAATCGTCACAGTGATCATCAGAGATCACATTTCAGTTCAAGCGGCTGAAATGAGTTTTCTCTGCAGGGTGGCTGGGCTCACCCTTAAAGATAGGGTGAGAAGCTCAGTCTTCTGGGAGGGGCTCAGAGTAGATCCGCTTCTCCTCCACATTGAGAAGAACCAGTTGAAGTGGCTCGGGCATCTAGTTAGGATGTCTCCTGGACACCTCCCTGGTGAGGGTTTTCCAGGGACATCCAACTTGGAGGAGACCTAAAGGAAGACCCAGGACACGCTGGAGGGACTATGTTTCTCAGCTGGCCAGGGAACGCCTTGGAATTCCCCCGGAGGAGCTGGCCAAAGTGACTGGGGAGAGGGAAGGCTGGGCCTCTCTGCTTAGGCTGCTGCCCCTGTGCCCCGACCCCGGATAAGCTAATGGAAATGGATGGATGGATTTTAATGTTGTTGTTAATCATATGAAGAGAGTATAATTATGTAATGTTGAGAGGGTGTCAAAAAATTCCAATCATCAATATATACACATGAAAATTTGTGCTCAAGCTTTTTGACACCACAAGACACAAAATAGATCCTTTTTGCTCTTTTTGTTCCCTTGGGACTCTGGGCTCTTTAGTTATGTTGTACGTAGGGATGTCTTGATCTTCAGAAACTCTGGGTTAAACTTTGCTGTATCAACGATTTAGGTGGTGTCCGTCTCATCTTGGATCACTAAATGATGACTCATGGCTATCACATATGGAGAAACCCCACAGAATTTGGCTTGAAGGGTTCACCAGTATAAAGAAAATTATAGCTTAAAAATGAAAAACGCCTTCAGTTTTATTTTCTGTGCACTGGCTTTGAATATATGTGGACCTTGTCTATATGGAACTATCATCAGCACGGACCAATAATGCAACAGCATCTCGAATGGACTCAGTACATAACCCTAAGAGACTACATTTAGATTAACAAAACGATGGACTGCATGGTGGACAGTGGGGCAGGGTAGGTCTTACGGTTAAATGATAACGATAAATGACCCACACATGTGTAACACCTTTTTGAGTCAGAAGACTACAGTGTATCATTCATCCATTCACACCCCGGTGAGGATGATAGCCACAGCAGCCCTGGGGTGCACTGACAGAGTCGAGCCTTTTATGCTCTGCCCCATCGTGGCTGCTGCTTACCACATGGCCAGATTTAGGGTGGTTCTTCCCTCCTGAAGGATGGATTCAAAGTTCACTAAACTTACAGACATTTTTCCTTTGCTCTTCTCCGTGTCTGGTTCGATTTCGTCAATTTGGTGATGCGCATTTGTTGTGGACGTATTAATAAACAAAGCCTAAAATAACATTTGCCCCCTTTCAAAAAGAAGCGCTTTCTTTCAAATGTGTCTTTAAAGAGCAAGTCACTCCAAATCAACATTTTTTTTGCTGATAAACTATATAAGTGAGTATCTGATCGTGCTGCAGACACGTGTAGTCAATAACTCAGCACTTTAGTGCATCTTAGTTAAAATTTAACAATTTGTTCTGGCAATTTAGGCAATTTGTTCTGCCTAAAACTGTCAGTGTTGCACCGTCGTCAGGTAAAAACTCAGCACTTCATTTGAATTAAAATCTGCCGTCGCTATTGGCTAAGAGGTACCCTATGATGTTTGATGGTACATTATGATGTCACAATGTCATGAGTGTGTGTATTTGTTAGCGGCTCCACCCTCTCGGTCTGCTAGGCAACAGCATTTGTTTCATTTTCCAAACAGGAAGTGGGAGTTGAGTAAGAATCTGGTAGGGGTGACTTGCTCTTTAAAATTCACCAACATCATATGTGAAATCCATGGCACATAAACAGGATTAAAAAAAGCCTTTAAAGCCTCATTGACTTGCATCTACTTTTTTGTTCTTCTGGAGACCCATGGTCTGGAAGTAAATGGACATGACTTGGGCTGTCTATTTGCACTTCCTGCAAAATTTGGCCATAAAAACTACAAAAAGTGCACTTCTCTAATGTCAGTTTAATCATAATTGCAAACTTCCATCAAGCCAAACTTTATATAAAGTTGGATGATTTTACAAAAACACAACTGGGAGAAAAGCCACTTCTATTGAGTCTATTATTGTCTATTATTATTTTCGAGTGTAACTGTGCTCTTTTTTTCCACAGAAGATGGCAGTTCAGTCAAGAAACTCTCAGTTGACCTGCCTAGTAAGATTCCTCCGTAAAACCCCAGCATCGCTTTAATTCGTCTGACCGAACGTTTAGCCTGATCTAATTTGAATCGACCTAACGTCCGAATATAGGAAACATGCTCACGACATGTTTATTCTAGATATTTGTGTGCTGAGTAGTGTTTTTCTTTTCGAAACTGTAAAAACAAAAAAATCGCTTGCTAACATATTAATGAATATCTAAGGTTGTTTTTCTAGCATTTCTTTTTGACTTTAAGATTTTGGTGTATTTTTTTTTACACATTAATAAAATCTTAGAACAATCTAACTAAAGCTGAATCCTACAACCTTTGCATCCGGATGTATTTTTGTTTTATTTAAAACTTTTACTCAGATATTCTATTCAAGAATTCCCCAAATCACCGCTTGCTCATCTTTAACTGGTTGCATTTAAAGTGTGTGCTTGCTTGAGTGGACTTTACAGTACTATTTCTTACAATATGCTGTAAATTTCTTTCTTTGTTTAGATGATAGTACCTCTTTGCCAGCCATGGGGAGAAAAGACTCAGGTAACAAGATAGTAAAGGGAAGAAGTTGATGTAATATTTGTACAAAACATATATAAATTAGACATTTAATTGTTTTGATGGAACATTTCCACCCTTCTCGCCAGCGGCGAGGCCAGATCTTTTAAAATGGGGTGGCCCAGGTAGTGCACTTCTTTGTGCATGGGTGGCACCAATGGTTATGCTTTTTCTTTTTTACCCCAACCTTTTTGTGGAAAAGTCTATTTAAAGGAAATTCAGTGGGGTGGCCAATCAGATTCTAAGGGTGGCGTGTGCTGCCCCAGGCCACCCCCTGGACACGCCCCTGCTTCTCGCGCATTTGAGACGTGACAGGGCAAGAATAAGATCAATGCACACACCATTGTTGAACATCATCTGACTTTCAGGATTAAAAACGAAGGTTGCTAAATCTGCAAAAGCAAAACGCTTGTTTCAATTACTTGTACACACATGTCTTTAACATCCGTTTTCATGCTTTCCATGTTGCAAAGTGCTACTGAGATTATGTCGCTGTGTTAGGTGTGGCTGTTGGAAGAGAGGACAGTGTCGTAAATGTGTTGTTTGTGTCTTTGCAAACCTTTGTTGAAATAAAAACTTTCGGATATGATTTAAAAAGGTGGGTGTCAATATTTCTCGTATCATCAATACAAAGTGGAAAAAGGAGTGTTTTGTTTCATGAATTTGTTTGTCGTTGCTGACCAGTGTGGTCTCTGGGAGAGGGTCAAGCTCCAGAGGACGTGGACAAGCCGATTGACAACCCACCACTGTCCACGCTGCTGATCGTGAAGCCTCAGAGCGGAGCCGTCAGCGTGGGTGAGTGATACAAAAAAAAAAAAGAAGACAGTCTGGTAATGCCAGACTTCCAGACAAATCTGCATGGTAGAGCAGTTGGTTAATACAGCAGTAATCTATTACCTCGTTGCAAAGTAGTAAAAGGTTAAAATCCCGACTGTGGTCCTTCTGCACAGAGTTAGCATGTTCTCCCAATGCATGCATGGTTTTCTCCGCCAGACCAAAAACATGCAGATTTTGTTAAAACCTTAAGTTGCCTTAAATAGAATTATTTTTAAAAAATTAATTAATTAATGAATAAATCTAAATGATAACACCATTTATAGGGAGCCTAAGTTCCCTCCTTCCAGTTGGCTCATTGGTCCCCTGACCAAAAATAAATGAATGTGAACGGAGTTGTACAGTTTTCTCCTACATATGTTGTACTTCAATTGAAATGATAATTATGTGTTTCGACTATGTCTCTCATGTAATTTGAGATTTATTTGCTTGTAAAAATCCTTAATAAAAAAACTACAAATCAGAAGATGCATATATGATGTCACAGCAGAATTTTATCTCCCCAAACATAGCTGCCATTTCCACATGGACAGATTTCTAGTGGTTTTCTCCACTTTTAATGCTTCTTCTTTTATCCTGAAATAAGGACGCAAAGCTCACTAAACTCACAGCCATTTTCTTCTTCTTGTGTGGTTTGATGATGTAATTTTGGTAAGACGAGCAGTTGTAGTCCACTAAGTATGTTCACACAAAAACTAAGGTATCTTTTGCTGCCTGTCAAAAATAAGTGATTTCTTGGCATTAAACTGTGTCTTTAAATTTTGGGGACATCATTTGTGAAACCCATGGAACATATAAAACGAGAAGAGGAAATAAAGCTCCATAAACTCACATTCATCTTTTTTGACAGTAGGGGACCTTATTATGATTTTCCATGGTCTTAAGTGGCCTCTTATTGCATAAAATTCCAATTTGCACTAATTTTGCTTTGTTGTATGTTTCCAAAGGAGGTGACATCACCTTTATTGCCAAGGTGGAAGCCAAAGACCTCCTTCGCAAACCCACTGTCAAGTGGTTCAAAGGAAAATGGATGGATCTGGCCAGCAAGACCGGAAAGCACCTGCAACTTAAAGAGACCTTTGACAGACAAACCAAAGTAAGGCACCCTCTTAGAATGATTGACCCCCACTTTCTTCATGTACAAATTTTAACACAACACCTCCGATCAGGTCCACACTTTTGAGATGCACATCATCAAGGCCAAAGAGAACTACGCTGGGAATTACAGGTGCGAGGTGACGTACAAGGACAAGTTCGACAGCTGTTCCTTTGACTTGGACGTTAAAGGTTTGTCACAACATTAAAGTAGCTTATAGTTGTTAAGAAACAAAAACTAATTCATAAAAGGATTTCAAATTAAATATGTTGTTTTACAGAAACCGAACATGGCTCGCAGAACATTGATATTCGATCAGCTTTCAAGAGAAGGTAATACAATGGCCAACAAAAAGGCTAAACTGATACAATAAGATTTCATTATAAATATATTTAATAGAACAAGATCTTCAATAAAATATCTAGATTTCTATTGTTTTAAAAGTGACACAGGTCCAATTTTATGGCACAGGAGCAAACATTTCTACTTCAAGTAATAATGCTAAATGATATACAAGTCCTACAAATTGTAGTAATAATGTCATTAACCTTTCCTAAAGATAATTACAAGTCTACTACTTGATTCAATGTGTAATTAAAGGACAACTCTTGCACTTTGAATCTCTATCCAAACAATGTAAAGCAATGCAAAGTGTCCCAATTTCATTGCATCACCACTTCGTTTCTGTAAAGTAGCAGAAACGTTGTTGCAATTTAACAGGGACAGCTCTGGATGACACAAACAACTTTTTGATTTTTTTCCCAGAAAAAGACAAAAACTGTTTCTGTGTGAGCACAAATCGCGAGTTAGCCTGGAGCTAATTTGTCGATCCGCTTCAGAGCTTTTGCTTTGTGTTGCTGTGAGGGCATTGTTATCCAGTGTCTGTAATTGTTGCAACTCTGATTAAATCTCCAATAATCTCTCCTTGTTAACAACAGCAGTGAAGGACAAGAAGATGCAGGGGAGCTTGACTTTAGTGGTCTCCTTAAACATAGGTGAGAATCACATCCTCACCCTGATTTTGTCTCTCAGTTTTTTTGGATGTGTTCCCCCTTTTCATTCTGTTCACATCCTTTGTAAATTTGTATTAGATTGCTGTAAGAATGGTTAGTTATTTCAGGGGTTTTCAAATTTTCACACTGTGGGCACTCCTCATTATAACTTTTGATAGAAAAAGATTTCTGACTTATTTTAGCTCTTCAGCTCATTGGCTTACCCACTTGCAGCTAAGCAGTAATCTTTGACACTAAGATGTTTATAAAAAGTAGATTTTGTGCTTCTTAGAATAGCAAAGACTTGTTTAAGAAAATAGAGCCACTATGCTGGAAGTTGTCGTGTTTAAAGGTGCAATCTGTAAAAACAGTTTCTATAGGAAGTAGCCAAGTGATTCTCATTCATTCAGATTTTTTGTTTTCTTCAAAAACTTTGCCAAATGATATTCATGCACAAGCTAAATAAAAATATACTTTACAAATTGAAGATTTCAATAAGGTACATAATATATTGTATTAGTTTGACCTAAATCAGACATTAAAAACCTTAACATATGCTGCAAAAAGTCGTCAATGAAACTTCTTAAAACTCTTCCTTAGACCACAAGTCTGCAACCTGTATGACTATTATTATGAGTGACTGATTATTTAGAAAAAAAAACCTAAATCTACATAACCCTAAACATTAAAAGCAACATTGGCAAAACTGCAAAACAAGCTAACTTAAAACATTTTATGCCTCTGAAAGGTGTGGTTGACTGAAAAACCATTATAATCGGTGATTATAATCTGTCACTCTGAGTTTTTAATGCTGGCTAAACATGAAAATAGTCTCTTACACATATCTCCTGCATTAGCTTCTGATAGGCTAATAGACAATGAAACTCTAGGATTTGATCAACCTTACACTGAATTAGCATTCATGGACTCACCGATCTTGACTCCCAACGAGGAAAGCTGTTGTTGTTTTAATGTCCAGGAATCAGCAGCGGACATCTTGGCTAGTTTAAGCTAACTAGTAGCGTTAGCAACTTCACTTCACAGCAGTCCTCCAGGCTTGTGTTATTTGTTATTAGCTACTGGGACTGCAGTAGCTAGGGAGGTAGAGCGGGTTGTCCAGTAATCGAAAGGTTGCAGGTTCAATCCTGGCCCAGAGAATGCTGCTGTTGTGTCCTTGGGCAAGACACTAAACCCGCCTTGCTTGCTAGCAGTGGTCGGAGGGACTGATGGCGCCAGTGTTCAGCAGGCCTCGCCTCTGTCAGTGCGCCACAGGGCAGCTGTGGCTACACCATAGCTCATCCCCACCAGCGTGTGAATGGGTGAAATGACTGATTGTGTCATGAAGCGCCTTGGGGGTTGCAGAATTCTAAGAAGGCGCTATACAAATACCGTTTATGTGTGGAGATAAAACATCCATGTTGCAAGTCTGTGGTTGAGTCGCATTGCTGTTATCCAGTCGGGGGCGAGATGTCCAAATATCAGGAAATGAGACTGAAAAATCTTATTTTATAACCAAATCCCCAAAATCTCTTTTAAAACCAGCAAACTGACTCCAAACAGTGTTCCAACGCATTGGTTCCCAAACATTTCAATCATCTCAAGACCCCTTGGTGACCTAGCCCCAGTATACAGAACCACTGATCTAAAATATCGGTATGACTTTTTGGTGCAAGTTATTTTAAAAACTGGAAAGTAGACACTAATTTGTTATCAATCTGGCTAATCATAAGTAACGCTCCAGTAAGAGGGCTGCTTTTGTATGTTGTTGTTTACAACTTTTATAAACAAAGCTAAAACTAAAAATTCTGTGTACAGCCATGTACAGTATCTGGATAAGTCAATAGGCAAGCTATGGATCCATGTGACATCCTTTTAAAGACTGGATATTCCCAGTATCAATATATATGTGCTCTGACATAATTCTTAGTTGCTTTCCTCTCATCCAACAAGTACATTAGCAGAAACTCGGGCTGGCACTGTTCTGTGGTTAACATTACCCCAATCAAAAGCCCTTTTTACAAGACACACCATCAAATTGGCGTAATATTACCACAATGGTATGTCTATAAACGCGCCATGCCGGCATGGCGTTGCGCAAATTTTGCGGCATTCGCTCCGGCTCGCTTGGTGGTAATATTGCTGTAATGGTCTGTCGAATGCGCCCTGGCGCAACAGAGGCAGATGTCATGATGACGTGGGGAGTTATTGCTGAACTCCGGCTGGCAAATTTATTGAAAATGAAAGTAAACACAGGCAATAAGGTTTGCTTTTTGAACAAAATCAGCTGAGATGACAAACTGGAGAGCCGCAGAGCTCCATGAGCCTCTTTGTTAGAGCTGAAGCTCAGATCACCAGAGTCTGCACAGGGACTGATGGGGACAGACACCTTTAGGAGCTGCTTGTTAAAAAATACTTAACGATCACGGCTTCAGTCGCAATAAAAAGCAAGTTATGTCCAAGATAAACGGAAGTCTGTGGCAGCGCAGAGACCGCCCCCATATCCCCTTTATGCCGCAATCACCTAATCTTTTATAAAATTGCCACGACTGCGCAACATTACCGCCACAGTCTGATCTTATAAATGACCTTCATCCTCCCCAGGGAGCCGCGGCAAATCCCTTTTTGCAAACGCTAAGGTCCTGTAAAAACAGCTAAAGTAATATGTTGCCAATGCTAAAGTGGGTTAGGACATGTGAGTCTAAGGGTGTGTGTCGAAGCCTATATTATATTGCACCAGATTTTCTGAGAATAAACTGTCTCTGTGGCCATTATGTTACAAATTAAGCAGGTCGGAGACAGCCCAGACTTTTTGTTATGGTTCTATTAACACCCAAAGATGCCAATATTCAACAAGGTAAATGTGGTTTTGATTTCTGAGACCCCTTTAACACATTTTAGCTGAAAATTCAAGCCTATTTAAGCTAATTGTGGCAATGCACTGAAGATATTTATAAAATAATTTTAGTCATTTGGCTGCAAAATAATAAAAAAATGTACATGCAAATTATTAATAGATTGATAGATTTTGGTAGATTTCCATTCATTTTTAAATGAGTGACTTTCCATATTGCACCTTTAAGCAAGACAAGACATTTTTTACTCCTCCCCCAAAAATCTATTTTACTAATTTAAAGAAACCTTCTTTACATATTATTTCTCAGTTGCCTCACAGTTTGAAAACCTCTTTTTACAGCAAAAATATTGTGATGCCTCAAAATAAACTCCATGATGCATATTTCAGATACAGCCCAGGATTTCAATGTGAGCACGATTAGACCTAGTGACTGTATTATACATTTATTTTGGGCTTCTCTCTTCTTCTCCCCTACATATTCAGAAATCAAAGGTTAGTAGAGAGAAAACCATAGGTTTTTAAACGATTAGACCTTACTGCAGGTGAGTACTGTAATCCTGCAGCTTCCCCAGCATGATGTGTAGCTCTAGGACTTGGACGAGCTAGAGTGTTGTCCTCCTGTAGTTTGGTAACACTTCATTTGAAGGCAGCATTTCAATCGAGTCAGTCAGCGGTCAATAATGATGGCAATTGGCCTCAGGTTACTGTTTGAAGCACCATTTTGGATCATTACTGATGTGCTGATGGCCCACAGGTGAATGATGCTGTAAAATAGTGTTATCACTACATCGTCACTTAGTTTGGTTTAGCAGAATTAGGATAATGCTGCTATGTTTATTTCAGCTTTCTCTATAACTGACTGAAAATAAACAGATGATAAACACAAGCAAACAAATGGAATAATAATTTACGCTATTTACGTGCAACCTTTCGGGCATTTGAGGAAATGTCTATGAAAGAAAGGTCTGACTGACTGTTCTTTGTTTAAACTAATATGTATACTTGTGTCCAGGCCGATTTGTGCACTAATCTGCATCTCACAAACCTAACACCTCCTGTTTTAAGGACAATGCCAGCATTTAGGAATGACTCAGACTACTACAAAGGGATGGCTCATGAGAAAATTGTGTTAAAGCCTTGGTTCAAAAGCTTTGTTGCAGATTTTCCTTAATTACTGGCATGCAGCATGTAAACATTGTCATGTTACAGTGTGGGACTGTGAGCCGTAATTTGTCTAAAACATAATTGTATTTATCTTTGACAAACTCTACATCCCCTTTTATTTTGAGTTAAATCTTCTTTAATCTCCCATTAATATTTATCCTGTATGAGTGCTCAAATTGAGATGATCTCAATATTTTGTTAGAAAGTTCAAAAGAACTCGAAATGTTATTAAAGGGGCATTAAATAAGAAAGAAAATGATCTTTTCTACAGCGCCTCTCAAGATAAAAATCACAAGGCGCTTCACAAAAACAAAAAAAAATATTAAAGTATAAGAAATATTTCAAAAAATGATTACAAATATGTTTTAAATGAGGATAAATAAATGAAAAGCACAAATTCAGCAAGTTCTGGTGTCTTGGATTATGGTTAGAAGCTTGGAAGAAGCTACGTTTGACCACCTTTTCTTCCATAATTATTAAAATAATAATGAGTAGTTTTATGGTAGTTTTTACCATTAATCTCTAGACATATCCATCGAAATGTTGTTGAAAATGAACTAAATGATGCCCAGTTGTTGAAAAATATTGGTGGCCTCGTAACATATAATCATAATATCAGCGTGTGTCTAAAGTCTCTGGGCAACACCCTATCAGACGCAATGTTTCCTTCGACATGAGCCTGTGAGGACAACACACATTTACTGATTTGTAACAAGCAGTTACAAAACTTCATTCATCAACATTGCTTTCCTTCTTCACCTCTTCACTCATGGCCAGTGATGAAAGGGAGTCTGATGTGCTTGTCATTTTGCTGGAGGGTGAAAGATCTGATGAAGTACTCAAAAATAGCGCTCCCAGTGACTTTTGACCCTAATGGCTATCTGTTGGTAAGGTCTTACTCGAACACATAAATAGCGCTTGCTTGCAATGATTTAAGTATGCACTGCCTCCTATCGCCAAAGAAAATACACACTGTCCCTTTAACCACAAATCACCTTCACAACTAAAATAAGCTAAGTATGGTGTTTTAATGGTGAAAAGCAAGGTAGTTTTTAGCTTTCTTAGGTTATTCTTTATTGCAAAATCTCAGCAGCTCAGCATTACCAACAAACTTGGAAAAACCCCACGAACAAAAAAGAAAACTTCCAGAATCAACCTCAAACCTCCTCAGACTCTCTTTGCGTTCTCATGTGAGGTGACACACACACACACACACACACACACACACACACACACACACACACACACACACGCGCGCGCGCGCAACGATCAAACATTTGGTCTGCCTGCTGTCCATACCAGTAATTTGGTGTTATGCGAAAAGAAAAGTACAAATTTATTATTGCCCATTCTAATCCAAAAAACTTTTCCTTAACAACGAACAGCCAGTTTACTTGGAAAATTATGTTTTTAAGCTCCATCCAAATTTTTCGAGACAAATCTCTGGAGATGAGTTCAAAGTGAGCACATACTGATAAACTCCATTTTGTTTCTATATTTCTGTTACATTTCATAATCCAAAACATCCCAAAAACCCTACATTATTTTTTTCATCTGTTTCAACTGAAATCCTGATTGACAGACCCTTAAAAATTCTAAAATGTCCTATTTGCATTAACAGCTACCTTGTTGTTACTATTAACATGCACCTTCAGACACAATCTCAAGAAAGAGACCGCAGTCCCTATGCCCATCCCTTTGTGTGACATGTCTTGAGGAACAACTAGAGTAGCAGCAAGGTGAGATCTGATCTTCTCAAAGCCACTAAAAGCCTAAATTTAAGAAGATGGTTTGTGGTTCCTCAGGACATGTTGCAAATACCAGATTAGGTCTCATGTTCTCACATTTACCCACGTATCTGGCACCATCAGGGAGCACAAACAGCAGGATGACACCCCAGAGGTGGATGTGTGGGAGATCCTAAAGAACGCCCGCCCAGATGAATATGAAAAAATTGCCTTCACTTACGGCATCACGGATCTGAGGGGTTTGCTGAAAAGGATGAAAAAGATTCCTAAAGAAGAGAAGAAGAGCGCAGGTACTGAGAATTTGTCACAAATCTCATTTGGAGAATATGTCATATAGAAAAGTTTGAATTTAACCAAAAATTTTACTGACCCCATTTTGTGACTTAAAGCTTTTGCGAAGAAGCTGGAGCCTGCGTATCAGGTGGATAAAGGTTCAAAGATACGCCTGGTGGTCGATCTAGCGGACCCAACAGTTGATCTGAAGTGGTACAAGAATGGACATGAAATCAGGCCTACTCCAAAGTATGTTTCAATAATATGTTTGTTGTTCTTTTACTTATTGGGGTCAATGCTACACAAATTAAAGGCATTTTTTATTTGAAAATAAACATGTCTTTATTTGGTAGTAATACATTTTCTACATCTCTTCATGTTTTCATTTTGTCTATAAAGCACAATGGTTCGTAACTTTTACTTTGTAAACTTTATAATCAAACAAACTTACATTACACAGTCAAATTTAGACCTACGTCATGACTGGAATTGATTACTCAGGAGATGCTTTAACTTGAATGGCAGCAATATTCAAAACCTGGCAAACCCACTGGAGAACTAACAGACAGTTAAAGAAGAGTAGATTAGGGGTGTGTTAGAGGGACACACTCACATAATATGTTTATTATGGATTTAAAGGACCATGTGCTACAAGGCATAAACACGTATGATGTAAACTGTCCTAAGTCACCTGATGTTTATGTCCCGCTCTGAATACAGGAAAACGGTGGTACCTCCTTCACAGGCCTTTAACCAAGTCTGGCTTTGGAACAGCATTAACTGACATAATTATTTTTAAGTATTTAAAAAATGTTCTTGATCAATTTAAAAACCCCTTGGCGTAAAAATTTCAAATAAAAGAGCTTTCTTTTTTCATTGGATGCAAGGCTGAGCTGAGCACCATAAACCAAACCAATATTGTGCTTAAACCAAGTAGCTACGGTTCTCAAACCTAAGTAGAAAAACACGTTTCTTCACCTAAACGTGTCTTCGATGCTTAAACCTAACCAGACAACACAAGGAATCAAAAGAAAATAAAATCTTCTCAAAGAACAGGCTAATTGTGCCTTTGCAGTTTCATGGTCAACATTTTAATGTCACAAGTAATAAAACTGCTCACGTTGTCACAAAAAGCTCACAGAGGTAACCTAAATGCCATCAAAGTACCGTTTTCATCAACTCTCTCCTTTTAACATGTGCAGGTTTCTGATGAAGGTACTAATCCTTATACTCCACACTGATGGTTTAAGGCCAGAAGTGGTTTGATGGGAATTTGTACCATTAGTCCTTTTAGTTTGAGTACTACTATTTACTATTCTTAAATCCCAACCAACATCTCTAATTTCCCTCTGGGATTAATAAAGTATCTTCGAATTTGAATTGCATAAGTGTGTCCCATATGGATATAAATGGGCAAACTTTGTGGGTGCCAACAGGGATTGTCTATGGTTTCAATGATGGCCCCACAGTGGTTTGCCCATGTAGATTTTAACAGACCCTACATGGGTTTTCAGAGGGACCCAGATGGGTTGACTCATAAATGAGCCCATTAAAATCTATGTGGGCAAATCCCTGTATGGCCACCATGGAAACTGCAGACAAACCCTTTTTGTCACCCATATATTTCCATATGGGGCCCACCGGTTCATGCAGGGCAGGAATATGTTCTGTTTATAACCTTTTAAAAATACCTACATCAGCCATCCATCCATCCATTTTCATTCGCTTATCTGGAGTCGGGTCACGGGGGCAGTAGTCTAAGTCGAGAGGCCCAGACTTCCCTCTCCCCAGCCACTTGGGCCAGCTCTTCCGGCTACATCAGTCTGTTCCAATTATCCAGAATTTAAGTCAGCAACATATTTTATGGTAAAGATTCACAAATTACAAAAGATAGTTTCATGCAATAATAAAAGAAAAATGTATAGGGCTGCATAAAACAGAACACTAGACCACCAAACAGCTGCCAAAGAGCCTGTTCAAAGCCATCTAAAGTTAAAGCCATCTTGGAGGATATTGCTGTTTTCTGGTTCTGATCTCCTTTACCATTTTCTCCAGGAGTTCCCTCTTCCTTTCTACCATATTTTGTTGTTGTTTTAACAGTGTTTACAAACCACACACTCTACCCCTCCAGGCATGATGTCTCTCTGTCTTTGTCTATCTGTCTGTCATTTCTTGGTGCTCCTTCCTGTCATAATTACTTCCTGTGATCCGGCCCTATTCTGGCTCCACTGCTGACCTGTAGTCAAAGGAAGTAAGTCCATTTGCCTTATTGACCCTTCCTTCTTCAGGTCATAGTTTTGCTCTGAGCCGAATGCCCGTGTGTAGTGTCACCTCCTACATTCTGCAGAATACATAATTTGAGGCATGCTTAACAAATAATGAAAACATTTTTGTGCATTTAAATTATCATTATATCTTAAGGTGGTTTCAGAACCTGTCTGTAATCATTACTATGCATATTTATGAGTTGAAATGTTTAGTTCACAACTCACGTAACTAACTGACTTCTTATTTAGGTATATTTTTGAGCACAAGGGCACACAAAGGATTATGGTCATCAACAACTGCACTAGTAATGATGATGCAGCCTATTCAGTAGTTGCAGGAGAAGAAAAATGTACTACGGAGCTTTTCGTCAAAGGTATCTCAATTAAATGTTTAGCTTTCTTTTGAATGGAAATATGAAAAAAAACCTGTTTAATTTCTTCTTATCTCCTTTCAGAGTTACCAATAAAGATAGTTAAAGATATCGAGCCTGTGAAGACCACAGTCAACGAGAGGATCGAACTGGAGTGCGAGGTGTCAGAAGAAGGAGCTCAAGTTAAATGGTAATAGAAGCAATGATTGGTAATATCAGTAATACGAAGTAAATATATGGTTTTCCAGTTAATGTCCAGTGTACTCTGTTTGGACAAAAGAGTTTGGCTGCAAACGATGGCCTGATGAATAGCCTTTCACCACCGTGCTTAACTGCATTATTTGCATCCACCTTGGTCTAGTCTGTTTGAACATCGCCCAGCCAAAAAAAAAAAGTCACCACCAAGAAAAAAAGGTCACACACTAATATTTTGTTGGACCGCTTTTATTCTTTGATACAACACACATTTGCTGTGGCATTGTTTCAATAAGCTTCTGTAATGTCACCAGATTTATTTCCATCCAGTGTTGCATTAATTTGTCACCAAGATCTTGCACTGTTGATGGTAGAGTCTGACCGCTGCACAAAGCCTTCTCCAGCACATCTCAAATATTCTCACTGGTGTTAAGGTCTGGACTCTGTGGTGGCCAATCCATGTGTGAAAATACTCCCCGAACCATTCTTTCACTATTTGAGCCTGATGAAGCCTGGCATTGTCATCTTGGAATATGCCCGTGCCATCAGGGAAGAAGAAAATCCCTTGATGGAACAATCTGGGCCCTCATTTATCAACCATACTTCTGAACAGATCTGTGTGTATTTACTAGGGATGTGTATTGGTGAAATTCTGGCTTCAGAATGGTATGGTATGGTATGGTATGGTATGGTATGGTATGGAATGGTATGAGCTAAATTGCAGCCACAGCTTCCCTGGAGCATGCTGAAAAAACCAAGGCTACCGTACACAGGCACCACCGGTCCCTCCAACCACTACAAGCAGACAAGGAGGGTGAAGTGTCTTGCCCACGGATACAATTGCGACAGACTGGGCAAGGCACAAACCTGCAACCCTCCAGTTACAGCACGGGCACAACCACTAAACTTCACTGTCATTTTTCTAGCATCCTTTCCAGGAATAAAAATACATTTTATAATCCGTGATCTAACAGTACATCCCTTAACTCTATAACACAATTTAAACCCAGTACATTGAGTGATGATTTGTTTTCCCTCACAGACAACCCGCATTTGGTTTAGTTTAAATTATTTATAAAGACCAGGTTTGTGTTTAGAAATTTTCCTCATAAGTAGCCTGGTTCTAATGCAAGAAGCGTGGAACTAGCTTAGTTTTCTTACTTTGTAAGTACATCACAAGACTTTAATTTTTTACTGAACTTTTACCTCATGATAAAGTAAATATTTAACTAAACAAACAAAAGGAAAAAAGGTGAAAACACAAATTAAATACACTTTTAATTTTTCTAAAGCAACCAAATCAAAGTAATATTGGTGAGGTCATTGTGATTGACTGTATGTGTTAAGCACAGGTTATTGCTTAAATACCTCTGTGGGCATCTGAAAATATTTTAATTATTCCCCAGGATGAAGAACGGTGTTGAGGTTCCAACAGGAGTTCGCTCAAGATACAGAATCAAGTGTGAGGGAACCAAACACTACCTGGTCATTGACGATGCCTCCAAAGAAGACACTGGAACATATTCCGTCATGGCTTCTGGGGGCACATCAGAGGCTCGTGTTCAAGTTGACTGTATGAATAATCTTCTCTTTTTTCCTAAGTCTTTGCCTACAAGCTATTTTGAAATGATTAATATTCTATTCTGTGTACTTCAGTGAAACCATTAAAGATTTACCAGGATCTACAGGATATGACGGTGTTGCTGGGAAAACCCATAAAGCTTCACTGTGAGATCTACCCAGGAAATGTTCCAGGTCGTTGGTACAGGAATGGACAGCTGATCCAGCCCAGTGATCGGATCAACATCATCCACAGGAATAAGTAAGCCTTCCACAATAAAGACTTTAAAATAATTTTTACCACTAAATTTATTTTGCTTTTTAAGGATTCACCGACTGGAAATTGAGACAAGTTCCCTTCACGATTCAGGAGATTACACGTTTGTTCCTGAAGGATATTCACAGAGTCTAAGTGCCAAAGTCCACATTATTGGTACACAAACAAAATCACAGCACTTTTATTTTTTCTTTGGTGTTTTGTCTTAATCCTATAACGGGAAACTAATATTATTGTGTAGACCCACCAAAGGTTCTTTTGGATAGCTTGAACTTCCCCGACAACACCGTCACAGTTGTGGCCGGAAACAAACTTCGTCTAGAGATCCCCATCAGTGGAGAGCCGGCACCTAGAGTGGTGTGGATGAAGGGGGAAAGGGTAAGCTCTAATTTATCTTTATACCATAAGTTTAGCATTTCACATTGTTTTCAACCCTGTTCATTATTTAATGATTATCAGCATATAAATTTAACAAGTAAATATTGGAAAACATGCCTACATTTTTTTAATATATAAAAAATGTGTTAATTTATCCCAAATTTAATTAATGTGAACAAAAAACAATTTTTAAAACCCTATGGCCATGTGATTTGTTCTGCCATTCTTCAAGACTCTTTAAAGATATATGAAATAATGAAACTAAACTACTCATTAACAACTATTTCATAATCATTTTAGTTTAATTATGTAATTATTAGCGGTGTAACAATAAACCTAAAATATTGGTTTGGTATGTACCTTAGTATAACTGTCATGGTTGGGTTAAGCTTTACCCAGCATGTTTCTGGCCCCACACACACCAAGGGGCACACTCTGGACCTTGTTTTTACCCTGAGTCTAAATGCTGACAGTGTTTGTCCTGAGGACGTTTATATTTCAGATCACCATTGCATTTTCTTTAACTTGTCAGTTTCTGCGTCCCCACCTCCTGCTCGCCGTATGGTTAGTTCTCGTTTTCTTAATGAGAGCACAGCTAGCAATTTTTCTGCTGCTTTTGATCCACCCTGTTCTTCTAATAATGACCCAGATTCCTTAACTTCTCAGTTTAACGAGCACTGCCTCTCCATTCTTGACAATATCAGTCCTGTCAGAACCAGATCAGTTCCTGCAGTGAACCCCACTCCCTGGTTTAATGACAGCCTTCGCAGCCTAAAGCGCCAATTCCAAAAAATTGAGCGCTTGTGGAAGAAAACCCATCTCCACGTCCATCTGCTGCACCTAAAGGATCTTCTGTCATCCTTTAACTCTGCAGTCAGAGACGCCAGGGTTTCCTATGTTTCCAACCTGGTGTCCCAGAGCAAAGGGAACCCCAAGGTGCTGTTTAACACCATCAGCAGCATTGTCTCTCCTGCCTCTCCTACAGCCTCCATCCACTCTGTTACAGACTATGAGAACTTTCTGTCTTTCTTTGTGGACAAAGTCAATAAGGTTAGATCTAGCATCTCTCCTTCAGCCTTATCGCCGCCTCTCCCGACTCCAACCAGGCCCATCATCCTAGATACCTTTGCTCCTGTTTCTTTGCCTGAGTTAACCAAACTAGTTAACTCTATGAAGGCCTCTGCAGTCAGAGACACCAGGGTTTCCTATGTTTCCAACCTGGTGTCCCAGAGCAAAGGGAACCCCAAGGTGCTGTTTAACACCATCAGCAGCATTGTCTCTCCTGCCTCTCCTACAGCCTCCATCCTCGACATCTTACCCCCATCTTTGTTTAAAAGTGCTTTTCAGTCCATCGGTCCCAGCGTGCTCTCTATAATTAATGCTTCTCTGGTTTCTGGTCATGTCCCTGCTTACTTTAAGAATGCTGTAATCCACCCGTTTCTTAAAAAAACCGAGTCTCGAACCCTCTCTCCATAGCAGCTTCAGACTCATCTCTAAACTTCCGTTCATCTCCAAGATCTTGGAAAAGGTTGTAGCTAAACAACTCACAGCTGCTCTTGATGAACATAACATCTATGATAGCTTCCAGTCAGGTTTTCGTAGAGCTCATTCTACTGAAACAGCTCTTCTTAGGGTTTCTAATGACCTTCTGACTCACAGTGATGCAGGGGACTGTTCTGTTCTGGTCCTGCTGGACCAGACTGCAGCCTTGGACACTGTTGACCATCACCTGCTACTGGAGAGGATGAGAGACTGGGTAGGCCTATAAGGAACTGCTCTGGAATGGTTCTCCTCTTATCTTTCTGAGCGCTCCTTTTCTGTGGCCGTCTCCAAGTTTAGGTCCTCCACCACCTCCCTTACCCATGGTGTCCCACAAAGTTCTGTGCTGGGGCCTCTGTTCTTCCTCCTCTATCTGCTCCCTCTTCAGCACATCCTGAGATCCTTCAAAGGAATTTCCTACCATCTTTATGCAGATGACATCCAACTGTACATCTCTTTTAAGCCCCTTGAGATGTCTAAGCTGCAGCTGTTACACACCTGCTTAGACGCTATCAAAACCTGGATGGCTGGGAGCTTTCTACAGCTGAATGAAGATAAGACTGAGATCCTCATCTGTGCCCCAGTCAAGCTGGTTCCCAAAGTCAGAGACTCTCTTGGTCAGCTTGCTTCTCACACCAAACCTTCTGTCAGGAATCTTGGCGTGACCTTTGACCCAGCTCTCACCCTGGATTCTCATGTCAGTTCTCTTGTTCGCTCTTCCTTCTTCCATCTCAGGAACATTGCTGAGTTGAGATGGCGCCCACGCGGGTGCACGCAGCGAGCTGTTCGTCCTCTTTATGCAATGGAACCTTGCGTTTTATTGGCTTTAATTGGCATTTTATTGGCTTTTATGTATTTTTGTTGTCTCTGATGCTCTTTTTGAATGGTGTGGCTTCTCTGGTGACTTATGATGGAGCTGCGCTGCTGAGGCTTCATCCTCCCGTTGATGTAGCGGGTGCTGCAAGCTGGGAACCTCACGGATGGCGTTGCTGTCTGGACTGCCCGTGTGCTCTCTCCCACCAAGCCGTGATGTGTCGGCCCTCTCTCCGCCCCAGCTCGAGAAGGAAGCATCGGAGAAGACGGGGAAAGAGAGGTAGCCGGCACGTGAGACGGTCCGATTCGGCCCAGCTTCTGACCCGGTGATTCCGAGATGTCTTATGGATTACTCTGCGCCCTGCCTAGTGAACTTGGCTGGCTGTGAGGGTGAGCTGGCACCGCGCCATGGCCAATCGGCTCGAGGATCTCGCCAGAGTGGGGTTTGCTGGGAGAATCTGCGCTCGGTTACGGGCTCAGAGTTAAAGGAGACTGTGCCCGTGCGCGATCCCGGTGCCGCAGCCCCGCCGCAGACCCGGTTTGGTCTGGTCAATGCCAGGTCTGTGCTGAACAAAACTTTTATTCTTCGGGATGTTTTTAGTCAGCATGGCTTGACTTTTCTGTGCATCTGTGAGTCCTGGATCTCGTTTGGTGACTCAAGCGCCCTGCTGGAGCTGGTACCACCTGGCTGTTCCTGTTTTAATATCCCCAGATCACGGGGCAGAGGTGGTGGGCTGGTTGTTGTTTTAAAATCCAGCTTTCCTTTTAAACAGCTTACACCCACCATGTCATTTTCTTCCTTTGAACTGTGCTTATTTGAACTATGCATCTCCCCCCGCCTGCTCGTTGTGCTAATTTATCGCCCTCCAAAGACTGACTCTAACTTCCTAAATGATTTATGTGATCTTGTGGCAGACTGCATCCTAAAATATGACTATGTCCTATATTTTGATGATTTTAACATCCATATCTGCTGTCCTGATGATGTGCTTGCTAAAGGTTTTTTGAATTTGCTAGATTCATTCAATATAACTCAATGGGTATCGTCCCCAACTTATGCCAGGGGTCACACCCTGGACCTGGTTCTCTCTTTTGGTCTCCCTGTCATGAACCTTGTGACTTTGCCTCCTGTGTTCTCTGACCACTCTCCAATACTCTGTGATGTTACGTTGCCATGTCCTGTCCCTGTGTGTGAAGCTCCAGCTACTAGGTTCAGAGGCCTGGATGCAGAAACTGTTTCAAAGTTTGTGGACTGTATGTCTGTAAGGTTAGAGACCTTTAACCCAGATCCATCTAACGTTGATCACTATTCACAACATTTTGATTTACTTTGTAATCAGGTCCTGGTTGCCCCTCTCAAACTTTGCAAGTCTAGGCCTGGGAGGGAGCCTTGGTTCTCTGATGTCACACGGGTTTGTAGGCGGGCGTGTAGATCATCTGAGAGAAAGTGGAAAAAGGATGGCCTACAGGTCTCGCGTGACTTGTTCAGAGCATCTCTGGTTGCTTATCAGGATGCTGTGAGGGCTGCCAGAACGGCCTATTTTGCCGACATCATCGAAACAAACTCCAAGAATCCCAGGATGCTCTACAAAACACTAAACTCTGTTCTGGTGTATCAGGAGCCTACCTTCATGTCTCCTACAGCTGCTGGAAACTGAAGATTTTCACAGATTCTTTGTTCATAAAGTATCAGGCATTAGAGCAGCTATTTCTGGTAACTCTACTGACCCTGTTCCAGTTCCTCCATCACCACCCACCCTGAGCTCCCTCAATACTGTTTCTTATTCTGAGCTGAGTTAGCTTGTTGCAAGGCAGAAGCCATCTGGCTCTCCACTTGACGTTCTGCCGCCTTGTCTCTGGAGGGCTGCGTTTCCATGTCTTGGCCCTTCACTTGGTCAGATTATCAATGGGAGCCTCAGCATAAGTGTGGTCCCAGCTGCTTTGAAAGCAGCAGTTGTTCGGCCGACCCTGAAGAAACCTGGTGCTGATGTCTTTGTGACAGAAAATTACAGACCTATCTCTACCCTGCCTTTTACATCAAAACTGCTTGAGAAAGTTGTTTATCAGCAGCTGGTCTCACATTTAGCTGATTCTGATTTGTTTGAGGTTTTCCAATCAGGGTTCAGGTCTGGCCATAGTACAGAGTCGGCTCTACTGAGGGTCTTAAATGATATCTATCACTAGATCAGGGTACATCTGTGGTGCTTCTGTTGTTAGATCTGACGGCAGCCTTTGACAGGGTTGACCACGCGATTCTACTCGATCGCTTGGAACGATGGGTTGGGATCAAAGGGTCTGCTCTGGATTGGTTTAGATCATATCTCCACAACAGGACATTCTAGGGCTGCTCGATTATGGCAAAAATAATAATCACGATTTTTGTGACTGAAATTGAGATCACGATTATTTAGGACGATTTTTCAATTTATGATGATTTTATTTGTTTTTATTCAGTCATAAAATTGCTCAGGGCACAATTAGGACAAAAATAAGAAACAAGATGATCACTAAAATAACTCCTGATTCCCAGTATAAAAAGACCAATATACTTATAGCTCATAGTCTATGACCCAAGGGCTATAGACCTTGGTTTAACTCATTTAAGTCTAACCAGTACAGAACCAAATACCAATATCTTGCAAATACTG